TCCTCCTTCCTCCGGCCAGGTGTGAGAACGTCCTTGGTTCCCAAGAGTGTTCTGACCTAGGCTTCCAAAAAGCTCGAAGCCGACTCCTCGTCCTGATAAAACCCCTTTTATTTAGTTTACAGTGAATTCCTTTCCAGCAAAGTCCCAGCCAACAGTCTTTCAAGAGTTTTCACAACTGCAGACCTTTATCAGGCTTGGAGAGCTGCCAGGCCAATGTCTTTCAGAGGCCACACTACAGCAGACAATACTTGGCAAGAATGCAGGAACAAATCTTCACCTTCATGAATTGAACTAATTGTCTCCTGCAAAACTGTTGCTGTTCCTGATACCTTGATGGTAGTTCTTTAAGTCTTTTGTCTGAGGCTGGTTGCAGGCAATATTTTGGGGATAGTCAAGCCTTAGGCCCTTGCTTTGCAGGGTCCCTCAGGGCTGTGCCTCTCCCCTCTTCTTTTTAATACCTGTCCTTTCATTTTTTAACATCCGTATCTCTCTATCTCTAATATCTTTTGGCCATTGTAATCTGTAATACTGTTCTCTACTGCTGAAAGACTTAATAGTCGTCTTACTGAACCACTTTATCGGAAAGACCTGATGCTACTAGCTTTCTTGCTTGCTTCAAACCATTGGCAGTGTCAGTCCCATTTCATTTCAACCTGTGCATCAAAGCCACCATTTGACAGTTCAGGCATTTGGGTGAAGGATGATGTGTGTTATGCATTTTAAGAGCAGCAAAGCTGGACCCTTAAGATGTCAAAGATTTATAGAAGGAAGTGGATGGGTTTACAGACTGCAGAACTTTGTTTTTTTTACTCTACCTGACCCAGCATTTGTCATAAAATCAAAAATGCCCCATTTTCAAGAAGGCACATGACCAGTTGACAGCAGCCAAAATCATCTTTTTTAATGTGCGTCATAATGGACCAGCACTGACTGCAGTTTTTGTAAAAAACCCATGTTTTTGCATCTTTCTAGTATCTTGATTATATTTGCGGATGCGTCCACCAGCAACACTTCATAAGATATTATTATGGACAGATGAAAAACTGATTGTATGTATGTATGTATGTATGTATGTATGTATGTATAAAACTACATTAAGTTATAAAATGGAAGAGGAACAAGTCAAAGAAACAATGATTGTATGGACAAAAAAGTATACTATACTATACTATACTATACTATACTATACTATACTATACTATACTATACTATACTATACTATACTATACTATACTATAGAATTAGATAAATGGCAAAAACTTTGGGATAGGAACTATAAGCTGACAATGGCTACTGCATACAAGGCAAATCTCTATAAAATGTTTTATACCGGCAAGATTAGCAAAAATGTTCATCAATATGTCCGCCAAGTGTTGACCCCAGGTACCAGAGGTGGTATTCAGCAGGTTCTGACCAGTTCTGGAGAACCGGTAGCGGAAATTTTGAGTAGTTTGGGATATCACCTTTGACTGGCCCTGCCCCCATCTATTCTCAGCCTCCCAAGTCCCAGCTGATCATCTGGGTCTTCTTTGGTTGCCCTGTACAGGAGAACGGAGCTGGAAAGCAGGTTAGTGGGGTGGGGAGGGAATGGGGATTTTACAGTAACCTTCCCCTGCCACACCCACCAAGCCACACCACGTCCACCAAGCCATGCCCACAGAACTGGTATTTGAATCCCACCACTGCCAGGTACTTATTATCGTATGTGGTGGGCCTGTATGAAAGCAAGAAAATATTGGATGAAAATACATACATGGTTCGAAAGGATGGATCAAGCAACATATAGATCTGAATCCAGAAATATGTTTATTGGTATATTGCCGGAGGGCTATGATAAAGGGACTATATATCTTAAGTTGTGCATGTATTGAAGCAGCAAGGATTGTATTTGCACAATATTGGAAAAATGAGCACACCCCATCAGATGAAGACGTAATTTGGGAAATATTAGACTGTGCAGAGATGGATAGGTTGATGTTAAAAATGAAGGACAAAAAAGACACAGAATACTACTTAACATGGAATAGATTTTATGAGTGGTTAGAGATAAGAGGCTCTCATTAGATGAAGAAAGATTATTGTTACATATGAATTAAACATAAAGATGGTTTATAATTATAAATACGCCAATATAACCAACAAGTAAGCTAATATAAATAGAAATATAGTCAAAACTATTCTGTTACATTGTTGTTGTTGTTGTTGTTGTTGTTGTTAATCTTTAGTGAGATTCACAGCCTTTGGGGCTGGTTGGTAGCTCAACAGCTCGAGTCCTCACCAAGGAGGATATAAGCTGTTCCAAATAGGGTGTTTTTTTTTGTAGAATCCGGGTATTCAAGTCTGATAAATTCAGAATTACCAAATAGCGAGGTAGCCCAAGGGTTCCAATTACAATTGGGATAACACACAATTTCTTTTTGTAAAGTCACTCATTAATTTGTAAGTCCCAATACTTTGTGATTTTTCTCTTGCTGCATGTCTTCAATTTGTGCATCACCAGGTATTGCAATGTGAATGAACCAAACCTTTTTCTCATCTATTTATTTTCTTATTTATTTATTTATTCAATTATTATTAGTAGTAGTAGTAATAGTAGATATGTTAACATTTCTTTTTGTTCTTTCTTTGTTTTTCTGTAAATGATATGCCCTGACGATACACTTTTTTTCAAAATGTTTATGAATAAAAAAATATATAGTAATGACTGCAGTTTTGAATAACTTATTTTGCAAAAATGCTGTTGGCGTTCAGTTAGCTTTCCAGAAACAATCACGGAGAGTTTATTTCCTGAGATATATTGTGACTAGTCCTGTCTTCTCAGCCCAACCTATATCCTAGGCCCTTTGAGAAAAAGCAAATACTTTGAGTAAAAAGGGGAATGTTAACCTGATAAATGTATTCCAAGTAATCTTTCCTCATGGCTGGCTGGGAGTTGAAGTTGACAGGTTCTAAAATTGCTACGGTTCAGAGGCTCAGTCTTAGGGATTTGGGTGTATAGGAGCATTCACAAATCATGTGTAATTTTGTCCTGAACGTTTAATATTTTCTGAGAAGTAGCACTGGTTTATTGGAAAATTAAGAAAATAAGCTCTTGAGAGACTCTTGAACTGTGGGGAATAATAAACCTGTTCAATTATGTTCTTCATATTGCTGTTCTGGAGATCATTAGAAGAGACAAAACATACAGATTCTTTTGCTGTTTGAGATGTGCATTTCTCCCGGGTTTTTGAAATTGTAAGGATGCATGTGGAATTATGATTGGGTCATTGGAAAATTTCAAAACAATGGGAAATGGGGGGTTTTCTTATGCCACTAGCTCATTATTATGTTCATTATATATTTAGATTTCTGCGGTGAATATGGCCTTTAAAAATATCAGATATCTTTTGAACAGAAATGGTTGAAAGCTTGACAGTCCGTTGTTTGTTGCATTGCATAAAATCGGTTTACCCTACAGAGGGATCAGAAGAATCAGCCTGAAAGTGCTTTTGAGTGTTGCATGTGAACTTCAAGGTGTATTAAAAGTGGATCTTTGAACTATGGTCGCACAGTTGACTCTATTTAATGCTGAATGATCTTAACAAAATAATGCCAGTATGAAAAATTTTTATTCTGTTTATAGAATCAAAATAATTCAAGGCACAATACAATGAGTTAAAAATATCATTAAGTACCATAAAATTAAAACAGCAAAGGACTAAATATTTAAAAAAAAATAACAGTCTGTTGGGCAGAATAGACCAATATTCAAATAACTACTATTCAACAATTCACAGATTGCCTGAAGGGAAAAAAAAAATCAAGGTATTAATGTTTTCTTGAATGACAGCAGGTTTGGAATTTTTTTAAAAAAATCTAATATTCAGTAAGATATGCTGCTTTAAACTCCCATCTTCCAACTCAAATTTTATTTCATTGTCAGCTCCAAACATGGTTTGAAATCTGCCTCTAGAGCAGACGTCTCCAAACTTGGCCACTTTTAAGACTTGTGGACTTCAACTTTGAGTTGAAGTCCACAAGTCTTAAAGTTGCCAAGTTTAGGGACCCTTGATTTACAATAAGACACTGTGTGTGTGTGTGTGTGTGTGTGTGTGTGTGTGTGTGTGTGTATGCACAGGCGCCTGTGCCCATTTTGGGCTGTGAGATCACCAGTTGTAAGTATCCCGCAAATGATCTAATGGTTGGATTATCAAGTGAAAATATTATGAATCTCCAGGTCTATGGAGATTCTCGGTCATCCAGGCCATAGTTGTCCCCAAGGTGCCTTTCGCAAGGCAACTGGACTTTTTATTGTTGTTTTCCTTGAATAGATAGAATTCTTTATTGGCCAAATGTGATTGGGCACACAAGAAATTTGTCTTGGTGCATAAGCTCTCAGTGCACATAAAAAGAAAGATACATTCGTCAAGGGTCAATAATCATCAGGTACAACACTTCATAATAGTCATAGGGTACAATAAGCAATCAAATCATACTAGGAAATAGTCGATATAAATTGTAAGGATACTAGTGACAAAATTACAGCCATACAGTCATAAGTGGGAGGGGATGGGTGATAAGGAGTGATGAGAAGATTAATAGTAATAGTAGTGCAGACTTTGTAAATAGTTGGACAGGGCTGAGGGAATTATTTGTTTAGCAGAGTGATGCCCTTTAGGGGAAAACTGTCCTTGTGTCTAGTTGTTCTGGTGTGTAGTGCTCTATAGCGTCATTTTCAGGGTAGGAGTTGAAACAGTTTATGTCCAGGATGTGAGAGGCTTATAAATATTTTCACATAGCTGGCTGGAGAATTCTGGGGTTTGAAGTCCACAAGTCTTAAAAGTTGCCAAGTTTGGAGACCTCTGCTCTGGATAATTTGCTTTCCCCATCAGTTTATTGGAACAAGATATACTGAAAAAGAGAGAGTAATACACTTGGGGTTGACAACCTTCATATCCTAAACTCCCTTAATTTTCTACAGTTGGCGCATTGGGATTCTCTCCCTTGTTCTTTCCTGCTAGGTTACCTACTTTCTCGAAAAGAGGGGCAGGCAGGATCCCCCGAGAAGCCGCTCTCCGATCTGGGCCGTGTCTCCTACTTGGCTTATTGGAAAAGCGTCATCTGGGAATATCTGCACTGCCATCCTGAGAAGGAGATCAGCATCAAGGCGATGAGCCGAGCCACCGGGATGTGTCCCCATGACATTGCTACCATCCTCCAGCATCACAGCATGATTGACAGGCGAAAAGAGAAGTCAGTATCCGTTCCTGAGCTGCTTTCGCTTTCCCTCTTGCTCGCTTTCGTTCAGCGCAGGTGCCTGGTGTTTTAAGTTCATCCATAGGTGGTCCTCGCTTAACAACCACTTCAGGGGTGGGATTCAACTTTTTTTTACTCCCCGTTCTGTGGGCGTTGCTTGGTGGGCGTGGCAGGGGAAGGAGACTGCAAAATCCCCATTCCCTCCCCGCCCCACTAACCTGCTTTCCAGCTCCGTTCTCCTGTGCAGGGCAACCAAAGAAGACCCAGCCGATCAGCTGGGACTCAAAGGGAGACAGAGAATAGATGGGGGCGGGGCCAGTCAGAGGTGGGATTTGCTGGTTCTCCAAACTACTCACGATTTCCACTACCGGTTCTCCAGAACTGGTCAGAACCTGCTGAATGCCCACTTCTGAATCACTTATTCTGCAACCATTCAAACTTGCAGCAGGGCAAAATAATAAAGTAAAGTAGAATAGCAATAGCAAAAGCACTTAGCAATAGCACTTAGACTTATATACTGCTTTACAGTGCTTTACAGCCCTCTCTAAATGGTTTACACAGTCAGCCTCTTGCCCCCAACAATCTGGGTCCTCATT